GGCCTAGCCACATAGGATCAAGTAAGCTAATTTTGTCTGTAATAATTACCTATTAAATAAAATAAATTAAACTGAACGCCAACGGTCTAAAAACACAGGAAAATATATTACGAGATTTCTTGAAACCGCACAGCATTAACCCATTAGCACTTGATAGCAAAATAATTTACCATTACTTAACATTAATGTTGGAAATAATTTATACAGTTTAGAACAGAAATTTCTTCGACAATGGACATATATGCCTTGCATCTTTATTAGAAACCATTGTTGACATCAATTGGCTCTATTGTTTGGAAGTCGTGACGTCTTTAATCTCTTGGTATTCGGCAGTGTTGGTAAGTGGAAGCAACCTAAAAAATGTATGTAGGCTTTATGTTTTTAAAGTATATGAAACTTTATTCCGTATAATACTTTAAAAAAGAACCATTTTTTTCCCTCTTTAAATTTACACTCAATTGATAAACTCTACAACCGTACAGGCTGCCATAAATTTTGGGATCATTTTTTTTGCCACCAATCAGTAGCATTGTTTATTGACAGATGATACTCATTAATAATTTTATTCACTTATTGGTACAGACAATCACTAACTGTTCAAGAGTGCCTGGACCTATTAGAAGAACCTTATTCCAGTAATTCTGATAGTGATTCAAGGCACCAGATTGTCATACGATACAACCACCACTAGAACCAGACATAGACGTAGATTCTGATCTCTCGAACGACGATGTTTCAGGAAACTTCGAACATTTTCAACTCGTATTTTGAGTTCTGGAAGAATTTTATCACATATTGAGAAGGATTCTGAGGATGATACGAGCATACCTTTGAATGTACTTTCAAATGTACCAGTACCGGAAATATTAACCTCAATAATTTTATACAAAAAAATGGCTAGATAGAAATCCTGAATGTACTGTTGCAAATTTTGAAGAAACTTTTTTATTAGACTCAGAGAACTTACTGAAAGAGATGGTTAAATATCTAATTCATGCTTTTTCAAGTTATTTCACCGAACGTTTTATTTTTCACCTAGTTCTTCAGACAAAGTTATATGCATTTCAGAAAGGGATCATTTCCTAAACATTACAACAAATAAAATGCTCTGTTTTGTAGGGATCTTGCTATTTACTTCAAGGATGACTTTTATTTAGGCGTCTTGGGAATGATATGCCTCCCCTCCAGTTCCGACGTCATGTCACACTACCACTTCTGCACACCTATGACACACCAAAGCGTAGACCAAGCGCTCCTTCGTCGCTCGCATCCATTGAAAACAGTGCACTCGATGGGAGGGATCACGTTCAAATCAAAAGACGTAAAAAAATTACGTTATGTCTAGACTAGGCTTTTAAAAGATGCACGGTATGTCGGGGTATAACATGCTTTTTATAGTTATCTTGCAGGAAATGTAAGATAGCTCTCCATCTTAAAGTGTTTTGAAACATTCCATTCATAAATATCTTACTTGCAGAGTAAACATTCAGAGAGTTTATAAAATCACAATTTGTAATTTTCTATGTTCACATAATAAAAATAAAATTTCTGAAAAAATAATAAAAACTGAAAAAGTGTAAATTATTGTCTAAACAATACGTATAATCAAGTGGAAAATAATGGAAGCCTTAAAAAATGTAAGTATGAATTGAATTTTACACGTAAGTGCTTGGTGGCAAAAACAACATTATCTAGAAATTAGAAGAAATTTAACTAGAACATCATTATCTTTACTTCTATTTAACTAGAACATCATTATCTAGAAATCTAGAAGTAAACAACAAAAAATGCACAATCACGTGTTGATTTTTAACCAATTGTAGTAAAATGCAGTCGAAAAAAAACAAAGTCCACAGCTCAACAAAAGATCTGAGCATTATTGAGTTTATATTGGCTGCATCACTGAAAATCACTTAATTCCACATAACATATTCAATATACCGGGTTTTATAACGTATCGTAATGGCAGAGAAACATCACATATAGCGTCAAGCAGTGTAGCTAAATATATATTGAATAACGTTAAACGCGTGCTAGTTTCTTCACCTACTACGTCTAGAAACCTTGAATCTGTCGAAATTAAAATTGAAATCAATGGTAAAACCTTATTGCAGGACACAGCTCCTTACAGAATCATTCCAGAGAGCTCATACAGACATACATGAAGTGGTAACAACCCGATATAATTATTAGATGATTTCAATTTTAAAAATAAAGCTTTGGTGTTTAACTCGACATCGTGGCAAGGATAGAAACTATCCGACTTATCAACTGCAAATAACATAATAGCTCCAAATTAACCAGTCCAATCCAAACATGATTCTGGATATTTTAGATATAGCACTCACACACAATGTTAATTTTACCATTCATGAAAATGTTTTACGGGAACTCGACTCTGACCACTGCCCAACGCTAGCATCTTTATCGTCACAAATCGATGGAATCCACTTCGATCATGAAGGAAGAGGAATCGTAAATTGGGACAAGTGTAATAATGTGATGCTATCCTACTACTCATATCCAAAACGTATCAGTAATACGCACGACATCCACGTTGAAGTTGATAAATTCTCCAAAGCTGCTGTTAATGCCATCAAACAAACAACCCGGCCCAGTAAATATTCGACACTTAATTAAATCAAAAAAATATGAGACGCTATTGAGAAATTGCTCCAAGGTCAGATATCAAAACGAAAATAAATAAGTTAGCGAAGCTTGGTAAAAGCAAACTTGATAAAATACCTTTTTCAATAATTATACAGCGGAAATTCATCCAAATTTGGCTGCGAAAATAAGCCTGAGAAAACAATCAACAAGAAAAGTGTTTCGCCTGACTGTATCGGGTCCCCACATTCACAAAATTGGCTGCTTCTCTCACCTCTCAATTCTTCTCCCAATGGCCTCAAGACAGTACTATGTCAGTCAATAATAATATCGCACTATTTTGTACGACATGTTAAAAATAAATTTTCGTAATTTAATGTCAACATATGTGATAAGTGCTGTTATCGCAACACCCACAGCTAAGCGATCGATTTAGGCAACATTTTCGTTTCCAATGAAACAGAAAACAAAGAAATCTTTTTTTACCACAAAACGGACTTTTCAAAATCTGTTGAACAATGTGAGAAGAAAATCTGCTCAAATGAATGATGAGTTGTGTGATCTAGAAAAAGACGTAGGAGACGAAGATATAAAATGACCTCTGTGCATATTGTATCTGTTGCGGTCGACCTGGATTAATCAAACAAATTTTACTTTAGAATAGGCGTATGATTACTGCCCTTGCGTTAATCACGCTAAAAAACGGTGACTGAATGCTGTAGAGTGCCGCAGTAAGGTTAAGTGTTAATTGTTGGAATAACGGCAACAACATATATTTTGCGGGAGCTGTCTCGTACACGAGAAGTGAGCAGAAACAGCTTACCTATAATCCGGGGCATGAGCAGGTCGGGCTGTCCCAGCGCCCCAGCGGCTGACTCGTGGTGCACGTGGCTGACGGCGGAGCCCGCGGACGAAGCGGAGCCGGGCGACGCCGCCATGGAAGGTGCAGCGGCGGCGGCGGCGGCGGCCGCAGCGGCGGAGGTGGAGGAGGGCGGCGCCAGGCCCAGGGCAGGCGCCGACCACAGGTGCGCCGCCGCCGCCGGATGCCAGGGGAAGGCGGCGGCGGCGGCGTACGGGTGCGGATGGTACAGGCCGTACCCCGCGGCGCGCGCGAACTCAGCAGCTGCGCGCTCGGCGGCCCGATTGCGGAGGATGCGGTTGATGCTGCTGACGGACGGCGCCGTCGCGTTGGTGCACACCCCTGCAACAGCGGTAGCCGCCGGTCATCGCTGCGTGCCTGAGCCCCCCGGCCCCCCGGCCTCCCGCGCAAAAAGCGGCCTCGCACACAGGCCTCGCACACGCACAGCACTATGCTCACGACTTCAGGAGCGGAGCTCAAACCAGTTAATTGAGCGCCATTACTTCCTTCTCTCTGATACGCTCTTAGTCTTAATTTATTTAACACAAGTTTTACAGACCACTTAACCCTTCAAATAGTCCAAAATCATTATCTTCAAGTTATCGTCTACAACTTAAAAAGCAAATTAGTTAATCCAATTTGCACCGGTTTATTTATTAATTTGCTATTGCAGAGATGGCATTTTATGCTGTGTACAACTTTATTTTTTAATTTTTTTTTAATACATTCGATGTTCATAGTATGAAGTCACGAAATGTAAAGATGTATTTTTAATCTTTAGTTATGATGAGTTTCATCTCGTAAATTCAATGGAACTCAATGAAACTCAATGTCATTTGAAGAATTCGTTATTAGATACAAAAGAATTGAAACTTCTGAAGAACAAAACAGATACAGCCACATTGATGAAAGTACTAAAATAATCAACGTATTACAATCGATCACTAGAATCGACCTACATGCACCTTACCAACCATTCACAAGAGGGGATCTCTTCACTTTGACTAGAAGCAGCTGAGTAGGCAAGATGTTGTTGTCGGCAGCAAAAACGAGAAAGCGAAATATGTTACATTCTGCCTATAACTTACTTCGAAAAGGCTCTTCACAAGAGGTAATTATCCTGACTATAATGCTATTCATGATTATTAATGATTGGTGAAATTCTATGAAGATATTTTCAAGTGTGTGTGTGTATATATATATATATATATATATATATATATATATATATATATATATATATATATATATATATATCACTTTTTTTGTTTGATCTTTTGTTTGACATCTTTTTAACATATTTACGAGTATTTGTAAAAAAGCATGAGTAGAAACCATTGACTTTGTACTATTTTGTTAATACAGTTTTCTTTTTAATATCCCCGTTCGTTAAAACCAAGAAAGAGTATTCTTTATCAGTAACTTGAATGCAAATGCAACAGTGTAGAATTGTGATTTATGAATGTAATATTTCATAAATTAGACTATTTAACACAAGAATTAGTAAACTGATTCAAAAATCAATTCAAATAATAATACGATTGTGTCATTCTTCACTCAAAAAGATAAACTAATGAAAGGAAATTTATTTCAAATACTTCACGAGTATTAGTATACAATTTGGTAGCTAGAATTGTTTTATTCAGGATGGATTCTTTAAGAACGGTATATTATTTCCAAGTGTATATATGTATGTATGTATGTATGTATGTATGTATGTATTTTTGAAAAGGTTATTTTGGTATTTCACAGAGTTCAAGTGCTTTATGTAGAAAGTTTTATTATAGAATTTCGGTTCTAATAAACGTATGAATCTGACCAAGTTACTAATTCACTAAAATAACACAGGTACACAAAAAAAGTTGTCACTCCCAAAAATGTGATGCATGTATTCCGATCCGTTTTCCGAACATGTAATCAGAAACTGAAGCCAGAATCCCCCAAAATCCACTCTAAAATTTACAGCCTACAATAAAAATTACAATAAAATTTAAAGTCTACACGGTGGATTTCGCGACTTAAAAAAAAGGGAAGGATACTGACGTTCTGTTCTAAAGCTAGCTATGAGGTGTTGCAAAAACGCCACACTAAACCCTAGGGAATTGTTTTATGAAATTAACAAATAGTGCGTAAGTAAAGCATGTGGCGTGTTTATTTCATCAACAAATTTCGTAATGTGAACAATGGAAGAATCAAATGAACACCAAGATTACAAATAAATGAAAATACATTGTTTATCTATTATTGCTATAGTTTAATATATTTTTCCAGAATTATGAAAACTTTTAATTTTTTCACACTAAGCAAAAAATTTCTATCTGTAATTGGAACTCTCTTCCATCCATCTTCCCAAAGCACTTTGCCGAAAGTTGTCTTACTGATAAATTATTATTGTATATTCACACCAAATTTTCATCACCACTAACCTCATCTGTGTCCTATGTAGAGTCATGAGACGAAATAAATGAGTCTATGAAATTTAAAGTGACTGAATCGTCTTCAAATACTCCCAAAATTTCGTCGGAGTAAAACTTGGCTTCGTTACGTGTGCCTCAGTTGGAGACGAACTGTCGGCCTACACTTTTAACATACAACATCCTTCAGTCTACCAAATCTTTATTTCCAACGCACTTTGCGCCAAAGTTCATTTTTCCTACGGTTTATTTGTAAAAGAAAAAAGTCAGAAATTTAATAAAATGGTCCAAAAGTGATAATTTTTCGAAAGGAATCGTAATCTCCGAAGGATCGCACATGTTACATCAATCATTTCAATGTGCAAATAGCTTCATACTGAAAAGCAACTGTGAACATATCGGACAACTTAAGCTACGGCACAAACATACCCATCGAAAATTAAATAAAACATCCCATATGGTCTCAATTTGTAGATTAGGCCTAAGAAACATTAGTTGAGTTCCTTAAGAGACGAACAACTTGTTCTACGGGCACATCATCTTGGAGTAAAGCACGGAGCGAACGTATGTTGCTGTGCCACGTGCATTGCGGGTTCCAAGTACACTTGTTATTCTTTTGCCAGAACAGCAAACAACAATTTTACTTTCACGCTTTACTACGTACGTAGTATTTTAATCCTGCGCCTGAAATTGGCGATTTTTCGAAATGAAAAATCGTATTATGGGGCCCTGTTATAAAAAAATAGGGTAAATCTTGATCTCGTATATGCAGTATATTACTTACCATCGTACGTTGTATTATCCGAATTCGCGTATTTTGGGTCCTTGATATCAAAATTGATTGACGGCAAAATGTCTCACTGTGTCTGTCCGTCACTCCGTCTGTTCGTGGTCAACGCTAGCTCCTGAACCGCTCTGATGCATTTCCCCTATAAATGATGAAAATTTCTCCATATTTGATATCCCTCCATCGATCTAAACGAACTCGTGATCCTGAGGGTTTAAATCCGATATTTTCATTTCTGAGGGAACTTTATATGAAACCTTGACTACATCTTCAAAATTTTCTCAAAAATGACTATTTTTTCCTGCGATAATGCTAGGGACGCTTAAAATGGCGCAGGTCTTACTTTCGTTGAAATTCCAGAAATGTTATGAAATCCCAAAAGTTTGTTCCTTTTCTATCTACGGCTATAGCTCAGGCGATAGAGACATTTTACTTGAATGAAGTCTGTTCTAAATGTTGGATTGAAGTTAAAAAATAATTCTCAAAAACGGATCCAAATTTTCTCTTTAATTTTTTTCCACTTACAAAAAAGAAAAGTCGCATTATTGACAAACTGTATTTTCGGAAATTTCCAATAAAACATTAACAATGAAAAATTACAATATTGATGATGGAGATTTTTTCTTCAATGAAATATTTTCATCAAAACTAGATCTTGACATAATGTAAATGAAAATCTCATTATATTTGAAAATTGCAAATGTTCAACTTTTTAAAGCTTAAGGAAAGTTGAGTTCATGTCTGAGGCTGGTGGTGTGGGAGTAACAAGAATGGCTGTCAACTCTAAGAACTTGATTTCGAATCGCAACGTGAAGAAAAAAAGTGTGAGTTGGAAACATTGTAATAATTGCATATGCATATTTTGCATATAAAATAAAACCATTCTGCTGTTTGCAAATATCTGGCAGTTTGTCAAGTTCACTGGTACTGTGTCTGCGCACTTCTTATTCAAGTCCGAAGTCCATTCGTACATTTTTTGGTCCATGATAAATCCGAGAATCACTGCTCAGTGAACTTTACCCTCCCACGATTAGAATCACAATCTTGGCTTCATTTTCTATCGTTTCTTGTAAGAACACGCTGTCGGAGTAATGTCAGTCCGAATTTCGCTTACTACCACCACCCGAATGTTTCGGCAACATGGCTTATGCTCCCTCTATCAAGAGTGAACTTCGAAAGTTTAAGCACAGTATCGACTTCACTTTTTAACCTCTGCGTATGCGCCAACTCGAAATCAAACTCTAAGAGTATAGCGGAGCCCACTAATCCGCCGGATTTACCAGGAACTTGTATTGTATGCAAATTGATCTCTAGATTATGCTACCTTTACCCTACTCTTGCAGCAGAGTGTGCTGCTATCAGTACATTTCCATGAAGTAATATGTAGTTGGTGACATTAATCTAATATGAGGGGTTCACAGCCAAAAGATATCAATTAATACGGCAAGACTTTCAGAAATTGAGCATCAAAATTCTCATCAGGTAATAAATTCTGGTGAAGTAATCAAATAAAAACAAATGCTCTGGGCTAGTATGAAAACTACAAACCTGAATATGGCAGGGCATAACATGCTTTCGTTTTCCATATAACCACATTGTAGCAATTTTCGTAAAATGTGTACTTTGTTATGGTTGTAAACCCGAGATATATAATTACTTCAAAATATATTACTTATACTTATTTAATAATATAATAATTATAGCTTTATGCGTCATTTTTTAAGCGTCCGATGTGCTATCGGATGAAATAGTTTAATATAAAATCTGGATATGTACTATACCTAAATATCCAGATCAGGGGTTGCAGGACAGTTTTACTCGAACAAATACGAATCATGAGTATGTAATATTATGGGATCTTAACACTGTCGCCAGAGTTCGAAACTTCTTCCTTTTTGACCTAAATGTGTGTGTAAAATATCTTTCTCGACATCATCTGCTATTAATCTCGATATTGCTGTCAATTGTGTACGCTACGCCCTGTTCACACTCTCTTTTAATACAATCTCTTGTCAATAAACATCTATCATTCTTCTTCATTTTTTATTCATCCCAACCTGGCTGGTCAACGTTCGTTTGTATAATTTCCTTTTGGGCACTCAAAATATAAGTTATTTATGAAGTGATATTTTTTTAAATTA